TTTTTCACACTTACGACTGTTGCAGCATCCCCACAGTCATGAGAGGCCAGGCGAGGAGATGCGTGTCTCGATGTGAGGGATGTTGAGTTGGCCACGCCCAGCCAATAACATGACCAAGCCACGCCCACCAGCAGAACTGGTTGTTAAAAAATTTGAATCCCACCCCCGGGGAGTTCCCAGCTAGGAACTCTTGGGGGGGAGGGGACTGGAAACGGCACAATACTCTGGGAGGCGGAGGCCCTGGGGGGGCGGCTCTGGTCATTAGAGGGGGGCCAATGCAGCTGATGGGCAGGAAAGCCCAGGCGCTCCTTGGCTTGAGAAAGGCTGCTGTGGGGGAGGGGGGCATAGCGTGGCAGAGCTGGGCAGGTGGGCCTTTCCTCTCCCCGCAAGCCAGGATCAGGCTCAGCCGTGGAGCTGGCTGGAAGTTGGGCCGAGCAGGGAAGCTCTCCTTGCCAGACGGAACCCGGGCAATTCACGGCTCCCTGATGTGGCGATGATGGCTAGTATTTGTTTCTCCAGTCGGGGTGGCTGCCCACCTGCCAGGATGTGCCAGCCAGGGCCTCAGTCCTGCGCAGAGCAGCCAAACACCCCGGGGACCAGCTGGATGGTGCCTGGCTTCCTCTTAGCACCCACAGAGGCCCTTTTAGCTGGCCGGGGGGCAGAATCCAAGTGCGGGGACAGGCCAGGCTGGGCTCATCAGGGCTCCGCTTCAGAGGCTCCGCTTAAGAACAGGCCAAAAGTGGGGGGGAGTCAGCCTCCTTGTAGCCCAGAGCCCCCCCTCCCCCGCAGTTCCACCCCCCTCTAAAGACGCCGACCGGCTCCTTCAGATGTTGCGGGGGGGGGGGGCAGCCAATAGGGAGCTTGGCTGGGTTTCTCCAGCCTTCAAACCTGCCCTCCGGTTGAGATCTAACTCTGTCCTCCATCAGCTGTCATGAATTGGGCCGTGGGCGACTCTTTCTGGGCGCTGCCTGGCCGGGGAGTTCGGTCGGCTTCACGGTTTGGGAAGGGACCACCACAGATGCCCCTCCCTGTGCAATTCCACACAGCCCCCTCGCCTCGCTCTGTTAAAGGGAGAGGAATTGGGGAACAAAGGGGGGAAAGCCAGCCCTCAAAAGCACCGGGGAGGGGGGCTCACCTGTGCCTTTCATGGCCACGATCTCGCAGATAAACTTCTTCTTCTCGGAACAGGGACGCCAGTTCGAAACGCCCTCGTGCAGTTCCACGCAGCCTTCCTTATAATACGACTCTCCAGAGTTTGGACGAGGAAAGAAAGGAGAGAGGCCGCTCCAGACCTCTGCTCTCTGGCGCGGGCAGAAGCCACCCTTGCCCCCCCCCCCCCACGCAGTGCCCCCCCCACGCCAAGGACCTGCCTGGCCCAGGCTGCAGAAAGCCTCCAGGCACCGCTGGGAGGTGGGGGAGGCCAGCCAGAGGCCGGGGGCTGCTGTGCCCCCCCCCAGGCAGGTCCCTTGCTAGCCAGGGGGTCCCACGGCCGGATTGCCACCTGCCCCCAAACAATGGGAGGCCTTAAGCAAGGATGCTAGTCTGCTGGGGGGGGGGGTGATTTCATGATGCCCTTTGTATTAATTGTACAGATTGGACTTGGGAAGTGGGGCAATTACGTATTCATTCTGGCTCCTCCCAGAGATGGTATTCAGCCAGTTTGGGTCGGTTCGGGCGTGCCAGTAGGGGAAATTCTGACTGGTTTGGAGAACCGGCAAATACCACCCCTGGCTGCCCCCCCCGCCCCCACCCCCACCCTTTCCCGCTCTAAATTCCCTTGTCCTGTAGCTCAGCGGATTTGCGTGGCCAAGTGGATGGCTGCACCTCAGCTGAGCTGACAAACAGCTCACCTCACCAGCGCTGGTACCGAGGGCGGCCTTTGAGGGCTGCGCTGCACGAAGCACATTCTCATAGAAACAGTCGCACCACCAGCCCAGGCTAAAACCTGCAACATCCCAAGATGATAGTGGAGTAGCTGAGACCGTTTACACGGCGAAACATTGCTTCGCATGTGGTTCTACAGAGCATCTCCAGAGGCGCTGCCCCGAGAGGAGAAACAGAGGAGCCGCGAGACAAGGGCGTAGCGCTGCTCAACCCAAGAGGATGGTCCTTCATCATCCTCATTTCCCCTGACAACAACATTGTCTGAAAAGACTTGGTTGTTGACAGTGGGGCGAGTCAGCATTTGCAAATGACCCACAAGCCTTTTTTGGGTTGAGGCCAGCTAAGCAAATGTTTGTCAGTTTGGCTAATGGACAGTGGTCTGCTGTTAAATGGGAAGCGAAAGCCAAGGTACCTGAGGTCAGGGAAGTGTTAGACAACGTATTGTACGTACCGGAATTAGACCATAAGCTATTAAGTATTTCAACTTTAGGTAGACAGGGATATGAAATACTGTTTCCTGGAGGACAATACGGCATAAGGAAAAGTGGAAGAATTCATGCACCAGGTGTTAAGCAGGATAAGCTATACAATACACACCAGGAAAGCAAGAGAAAAATTGTGCACGAACACTCAAACACTCCCACACAACATGACAATTGTGTACATTTATTGCACGGGAGATTGGGGCATACAAATTTCAGAGGACTGCAGAAGATGCCAGAACTAGCTGAGGGACTTAAGATGTGCTTAAATGGCCTTGTTTGTAAAGAGTCGAAGTCCGGGGTATACCCTGGGAGTAAAAGCAGCTCAGGGAAAACCGAGCCTTGCAGTTAATACCTGCTGGTTTGATTGGCCCCATGGCACCCTCTTTGGGAGGAGCCGGGTCATAATGGAGGATTACACGAGAGGTGGGTTTTGCTACCTGCTAAAAAGCAAGATGGAGGTCTTGCAACAGCTCAAGCAATGGGTAAGATTTGTAGAGTGTAGATATGGCTGCAAAGGATGTCAACTGCAAACAGACCGGGGACCAGAGTTCATGTCTGATAGGTTTCCAAAGATGGCTGAGGGGTTTAGGCACCAGGTATAGACCTACGAACCTGTACTCGCCAACAGAAAACGGAGGATCTGAAAGAAGGAATGGCGTAACGCAAATCATGAAAGACTCACTGCTGGCAGATGCGGGGATGGGTAGAATGTACTGGGGTGAAGCCTTAAAAACAGCCAATTATTTAATGAACAGAATATGGAGCATTGCTATAAATGAAACTCCATATTTCCTATTATGCAGAAGAAAACCTTCATCGGGTCGCCTGAGAACGTTTGGCAGTTATGCCTGGGTGCATAGTCCCAAAGGCACCAGAAGAAAAGGACAGACAAAGGCTAGGAAACTTGGGTTTGTTGGATATGAGCCTGGTTCCAAAGGTTCTAGATTCACAGATAGAACCAGAAAGGCGGCAGTTTCACAAGCTGCTAGTTTTGCAGAGCTAAATAATTGGAATGGGGTGCATGCCAATTCTGAGGTGTTCGTGCCAACGCATAGCACTAGTTCCCCAGAAGGAGAAGCTACACAAAGCCCGATAAAGGAGCAGCAGGTCAGAAGGAGTAGATATGGAAGGGAAGAGGCCTGCGGTAAAAAGAGAAGTCACAGAATCGCAGGGACAGAGGATACCGAGGAGATCTGAAAGAAGCAATAAAGGCGTAACACCCCCCCCCCCCCCAATGGTTCCCAGCAAGCGGGGGGAGAGTAGGTAGAGTTCAGTATAAACCCCGCCATTACCCGGAGTAGAATAGGGCCAATGGAAGGAAGCCGATGAGTGTGCATCAGGTTTTTAGCCCCAGGAGATTACCAGAAGGGCAAAAGGCAGCGAGGTGGGTATATAAAAAGAAGGTGTTACACAACGATGAACTGCAGTATAAGGCACGGTCAGTTGCGCAAGGGTTTACGCAAAGGAAAAATGTTCATTATGACAAAGTGCTTGCACCAACAGTAAGAAGTAAGACTGTAAGGTTAGCATGGCTTTAACAGCTGCCTGCAGGTATACCATCTATCACTCCGATATTTCTACTGCATATTTAAATGCAGAATTAGAAGAAGAAATACATATGGCTCAAGCTCCAGGTTATGAAACAGAGAACCCTGGATATATATTATTAAATAAAGCCATATATGGATGAAAACAGTCAGCAAGAAACTGGAATCGGTGCTTAGATGCCGTTCTCAGGAAGTTGTTTTAGGGGCAGCAATGTTTATACACAGGACAGCGTGATGGGGCAGAGCGTTTGCTGTTAGCTTATGTGGATGATATAAGTTTTACTGATAAACATCACTCAACAAAATGATTTTTTCCCCTGTCATTATTGGTAACCATGAATATAACTAATATAACTAAACTTAAGAGTATAAGTTTAAGAGAGGCCCTGTTAGGGCATCTCTCTCTCTCTCTCTCTCTCCTCTCTCTCTCTCTCTCTCTCCTTCCCTGCAGTGATTGCTGCTTGTTTGACCTCTGTGTATAGTACGTGTGCGTATATACAGTATATATTCTTACTGCTCCTGGGTTGTCTCGCGTAGTAGAGCTGACCGCGCTCTGACATCCTTGGCCAAAGCACAGAGCAAGAGGAGCAAGCGGGCCAAGCCGAGGCCTCTCACTGACCCTAAGGGGGATGGGCAACGGGAAACCCTGGAATGGCAGCCACCCCAGGGGGGTGACGTCTCAGAACCGGTGGAAAACTGGCGGCTTGGTCCCGCCGCAGATCCTCCCAGGGGCTCTTTCGGAGGCCACAACTCACCGCACCGAAGTCCCAAAGCCAGGGCTGCGATCAACCCAGAAGAAGCTGCTCCTTGATTTTTTTAGGCCAACCCAGTAATGGTTTGAACGCTCGGGGCTCTAAAACAAAACGAAAAGAAGAGACCGAGTGAAGAGAAACCAAAGCAGTCGGTCAACGTGCCTTTGCTGTGTTTCTTTCAGGGGGAGGAGAGAAACCCCCCCCAGGGGGGCCTTTGCAGCCGTGAGGGAGCCTCGGGGCACTGACCGGGTGGCCCCTCTGGGCTGAGTTTCTGGGACCCCGACCCAGGACTTTGACCGGAAGGGTTGGAAACAGACGGGAAGGGGAAGGGGGTTCTTTGTGGGGCTGAGGATGCCAAGCAGGACCCCCAGAGAGGGGCTGAGAGGAGCCATGACAAAAAGACTGATTAAATCAACAAGGACTTCCAAACAGCTGATAGTTGGTCTAAATGCCCACTTCATGACACTCTTAATAATGGAAACCACTAAGCAGGATCTTCATGCCCAGCAGTCACACACCCACTTGGGGAGAGCACAGGGCCAAGAGGCTCCCTGGGGGAGGGCCTCTCTTCCAGGACCTCTGCCAGGCGGGGAGGCTGGGCCGAGAGGAGCCCCTGAGGTCCCTTCGGTTAGGCAGTGCCGCCTCTTGGGGCTGTGAGGGCTGCCTCATCTGTCGCCCTGCCTCCCCTCTGGAGCACTACACACACACACACGCACAGATGCACACACACACACACACACACACACCGTGAGATCTGTATGACCCCCATCCTGATGACACTCTAGAGCCGGGGTGGGTTTTATTGCAATTCAGAGTCTGTACTGTAAATGCTTATGAACTGTCTCTTCTTTAATTGCTCCTACGTGGCCCAAAGTCACCTGGAACGGGGCAATCTCTACCTGTATCAAGCCAATATTTGTGTGACAGACCACAACAGGTTGTCATACCTAAAGCCAGAGGAGGCCAACCTATGCGAGTCAGCACTGATTCCGTGGCATATTATAAACCTTATGGAATCTGTCGCCTATCTCTCTATTGTCAAGACTGACTCGCTCTTCCAACCACATTCGGCTTCGCTTGCAGCTTGGCAGTAAAGGCGGGGGATGGGACGCCAGGGTGAAGGGGGAGAGGGGTTCCGTGAGACCTTGCCCCCACCTCAAGGACCCCAGGGCAGAGGTCCCAGCAAGGCTGCCTGGTCCCCATAACAAAAGGAGCAGAAGGGACCGGTGGCCGTAATGGGCTGTGGGCGGCCTGTGGGGAAAGGCAGAATGAACTGGGGTGGTTTCTCTGAGGGAATCCCAGAACTGGTTTCACTTCTTCTGGGCCGACGTGGAGCTTCTTCTTCTGGATTCGCCAACTGGACAGTTGACCTTGAACCAGCCCTCCATGTAGCCACCTACCTGGACCCCACCAGGAGGTGGGTAGTTTTGAGAGGTTGGCAACTGACATGGGGGCAGGAGGGGAGGGCGAAGTCAGGGGAAGCCACCTCTCCAGAGACCCTTCGCCCAAGCCGAGGCTGGGATGCAAGCGGCCAGCACCCCCCGGGCCCCCCCCCAACAGAGGGCTGAGAACCTGGAGCAACAGCCGGCGATCGAAGGGGGAAAGAGAGAGACGGAAGGGCCCTACTTGGGCCCCAAGGGCCTGTGGGCGAGCCGGGGGGGGGAAGGTGGCAGAAGGAGGGGATCAGCTGGTCTCCCCTGGAGTCGTGGAAATTGGGGGAGCCGGGGGAAGGCTAGGCGAGCGGCCGAGTGGCATGACTCGGCTGAGCGGGGCTCGCTCCCAGCTGCAGCTCTCAGTCTGTCGATGGAGCAGCTGAGGGAGGAGTTTGGCCGGCTGGAGGTCTGGGGAGCCACCCCCCACCCCAAGGCCAGTGATCATGAGCACCACAAAACCTCTGCCTACCCCATCTCCTCTCCTCCTGCAGCCAATGGTGCCAACCCCACCGAGAGACAGGGGATCCCGTGCAAGCACCCCTGGCTGCAGCAGGGCTGCCCCCTGGATACGGCCTAGTGAGAAAGGACTGACTGCCACCTCCCCCAGCAGTCTGGTTCAATGGGTGACCCGACACCGTGGCTTACTCCCTCACCCGGGTCTGGAACTCCTGGAGCGCCATGGAGGGAGGCACCCGGCCGAGTGCCCGGGCCAGTGCCGTCATACCCAACCTGGAGGGGGACACAGCGGGACGAGGGGGCTCTGGAGCTGCAAGGCCTGCATGCTTTCCTGCCGGCATTGCGAGACAGATTCAAAAACCCCACAGCAGCCTGGCATGCCGAAACCGGGACCCACTCCCTAGGGCCAGGGGCCAGGGGACAGGGGCAGAGCACAGCCAAGGTTTTGGCGGCTCAGCTGAGAGATTGGGCCAAGCATGGGCTGGTCTACCAGTCCTGGGACAGAGGGACGGAACCAAGAGTTCTCTCCAACTGCCTGCCTCGGGGGCTGCCTTGTGACCTTTGGGGGGGATACCAGTTAGCCACACAATGGCACAACAAACCTCACGGCTGCGCATGATGAGCCTGGTGGCATCCTGCTGCTAGCGGCTGCACCAGCGCGACAAACCTCACAAAGACCCATTTCTGGCAGAGTTTGGGGAGAGAAAGAAGCCAGGCTCTGCTGCGCCTTCTTTCCTTACTCCACACACACACCCTCCGCCACCCTAGCTGGATTTTTATGCCTGTGCCTCACCCCGCCTCGTACAATCAAGTGGTCGGTGGGGCCTAATTAGGGCTTACTTTCAGGGTGGGGCTTATATTCGGCACGGGCATGAAAATCAAGTTAGGGCTTGTTTTTGAGGTAGGTCATATTTTGGGGAAAACCTATCTATCAATCTAATGAATCTATCTCATGTATCGTCTGTCTGTCTGTCTGCCATGTCAGAAATGGTGTAGGGTCTTCTACTTGGGTGGGGGGTTGGACTAGATGATCTACAAAGCCCCTTAGTTATTCTGTATCCTATCTATCATCATCTCATCAAACTCATCTATCGATCTAATTATATGAGGTGCAATGACAATAAAACAAACAAACAATCTAACCAATCTACCTACCTCATCTACTATCTTTATCTTCTATGTATTGAAGGAAGGATCCGGGGGTGTGGTCGGGTGAAATCCCCCGATCTCCCCTCTGGTTTGGACGGCTGGCTGCCCGTAGCCTTAAATCCTGCCCAGGGAGCCTTTGGTACTCACCGCAGAGGGCCAGACCTCGGGAGCATCCCAGGGTTTCCTCAGGATCAGCAGCTGAGAGGAAGCAGCTTTGCAGTCCCATCGACCTACAGAGCCTCGCCTCCGGGGGACGGCAGCCTGGAAAAGAGGCCGGAGGCCAGAGGAACGTCGCTCTGGTCTAGTGCAGAGGCCTTGGCTCATGGCTGGACCAGCCCAGAAGCGGCTCCCCCAGCCATCACAGCCAGAGGTCTCTGGCCTTCCATGGAGGCCCAGCTCTTCCTTCCTGCACCCCACCTTCTGGGGAGGGGCTTCCCTGGAAGGGGATTCTTGGCCTCCAGCATTGGGCCAGGCACAGAAATGAGCCCGTAGCTCCCGAGATGTTGCTTTGCGGCAGCTTTCAGGGGACGCTGCCCACCCTGCTGCCTGCCAGATGTGCTGGAGAACCACAGCAGCTGCCGCTCCTGGAGACGGGACTTCAGGTCTTGGACTGTTTCCAGGAGGGACCCATTTTCTCTGTCCCTGGCTCTTCCTCCTCCTCCTCCTCCTCTCCTCCCACCCTGGGGGAACATCTCTGTGGCCTCCCCGGTCCTTGTGGGCGGAGCCCCAGCCGTGGGTGCCCATCCCCCTGCTTGGTGAGGACCCCTGCATGGCCACAGAGGCGCCTCTCCTGCGCCTCCCCTTGGCCCTCCCGCCAGGAGCCGGGGGGGGCGTGCGGGGGCAGCAAAGCAGCAGCAGGAGCCCCTTCTCCTTCCCAGGGACGGGACGGTGCCCGGGTGGGCAAACCGCTTGCCATCTTTCGAGAGGGCGTCATTCCTCCCTTCCCTACAAGGCTGGGGGGGGGGCTCCTTGGGGGTGACCCCAGAGTCGTCCTGCAACCCAAAGGCCGCTTGGAAGCCGGCTGACCAATGGACAGAAGGCCTGGTTCCTCACAGGCTTCCCTGCCTCCCTCAGACCCCCCCCTGTAGCCCCCTACAAGGAGGGTGCACAGCGGAGGAAGGCTGGCCAGACAAGAGGAGGCAAGGAGGGACAAGGAGAGGCGGAGGTTCCGGCAGGGAGGAGCCGCCTTGGTGGGCCCTGGACGGTCCTCTGCAGCAGAGGGTCAGCCGTCCAGGCTGCCTTTGGGAGGGGATGCGAAGGGCTCTGCAAACGGAAGCCGTGGGGGGTAGCGAGAGCCCTTCGACCTCACGGGGCTTTTACACCCCTCTCTGGGCGGTTGGCAGCCTGTTGCCCCCAACCATCTGGCTCCTCACTTTACGCACCTCAGAAGGACGGAAGGCTGAGTCAACCTGGAGCCCCGACAGGATCGAACTGCAGGCTGCGGGCATTGCCTGCAGTGCTGCACTCTGTGCCACCAGGGCTCTCAAGGTGCCTCGCCAGCCCCAGAGTTAAGACCAACACCTCAAACTACCCGAAGAGGCCGATTCCCACACGCTGCGACCAGCTGCAAGGAAAGGGGCCCCTTTTTCTGCCCCAACCTCAACCACAAGGCAGCTGGAGCAAGTCGGGGAGCCGCCAAGGGGGATCCCAGCTTGGGCTTCCCAAGGTTGGCCATCCTCCGTCCCTCCCCAGGGAACGAGGCTCCACCAGCAGCCTCCTGCCTTCGCCCGGTCCCTCTTTAGCCTGGCACAGAGCGGAGCCCCAGCCAGCAGGCTCGACGGGAGCTTCGGGGAGGGGGCTCAGCCTGGCCTGTAGGCCTCGCTCCCAGGAAAAGAGGCCACCCAAGACTGGACCGTTATGGAGACCAGAAAGGGCGAAGGGCTGGAGGTCGTGCGAGAGGAGAGCCTGAGGATGCCTGAATGGCTGCGGGACACCAGGCAGAGGGAGAGCTGAACTCGGGACAGGGAGGCATTTCCTGAGTGGGAGAGCTCTGCGCAGGTGGGGCTGGGGGGCTCCATCACGGGGGGGGGGGTCTTTGCAGACATACTGAGCAGCTGTTTCTCAGGAAGGATCTCTGCTTTGGCCAACACACTGGACTGGAACAAGCTCCTTCCAGTGTTGGCAGGCCAGAAAGACATAAAAGCAGCCACATAATACCCTACATCTAAATAGAAGCCTCTTCAAAGAAAAACCTCAGAGAGAGAGGGGGGGGAGAGGGGGGGGGGGGGGGGGGGGGGGGAGAGAGCGCATGCACCCTCACCCACCTTGCAGCACTGCTGCCCCCACCAAAGCGCTTCCTTCCCCCTGTGAAATATTTGCCTACCCCCCTGCGCAGAGGTCTCACCACTTCCCCCCGGCCCCCAGCCGGTCTGGGTTTTCCCCCAGTGGGCTGCAGGAGAGCCCAGCTGTGGCTGGCAGGGGGGGGCCTCTCTCCGCGGCCTTCCTGTCCTTTCCTGCTCACATGAACACCTGAAGCAGCCAGAAAAGAGCCGCAGAGACCCTCCCCCCTTGCCCCCACCGGGCCCCAAGAGGAGCTGGACCAGGAACGCACCAATTTGCTGGCAGGAGGAGGCCTGGCTGAGGTCGGCCATCAGGCTCGCCCGCTCCCTCCGCAGGAGAGCCAGGCTGTGGTTGGCTTGGCCCACCAGGAGCTCCTGGTGTTGCAGCTGCTGCTGGATCCGGTTCCCAGTTGCCCGGCTCTGCCAAAGGGCCACCGTGGTGGAGTGGAGCTCCTGCTTGGTGGAGTGGAGCTCCTGCTCGGCCAGGCCCAGCAGGTGCCGGCTCTCCTCCAGGCCAGCTTGCAGGGCGTGGCGCTCAGCCGCGTGGTCTTGGGACGCCTGCTGGAGCTGCTGGGAGGCCTGGGTGCCTGGAGAGAGGGGGCAGTTGAGGAACCAGAGCGTGGCGGGGGGGGAGGGAGGGGACCAATCCCTGGGCAGGTGGGGAGCCTGCTCTGAGCTCAGGAGATGCCAGGGGAAAGCGCAGGGGAGAGAAATCTGTGCCATCCTCAGGTGGCACCGCACATTTCCCCAAGGAAGCTGCCAGGGGAGGGTCAAGGCCTCCAGGACTCACATCACACCCCGAGGCTGACGGTGACGGAGAGAAGAAAGAGGCCGATGCCCAGCACTCCCCCCTCAAGGCGGCCCACCTGGTCCGGGGACTCCACCCTGGAGAGAAACACTCCGCTCAGGACACCCTGAGAAAGGATGGGGGGATGCCCCCTTTCACGCCCCCCCCTTCATGCCCACCTGCGCTGCCCTGGTGCCCCGAGTCCAGGGCGCTCCATCTCCTGGCAGCAGGCTTGGTCCCCTGGGCCCCTGCAGGCCCCTCCGCCCTCAGGGGGGCCTCCCGAGGAAGACTCTGGCCTGTGGGGAAGGGCAGGAGGTCCTTGGAGGGAGCCCGGCTGGGCAGGTGAAAGGGGCCAACGGCAGGGAGGGAACCGGGGTGCCTGGGCTCTTCGGCCTCCTTTGCAGCCCTCCAGGTTCGAGACTGGGCACCAGGGAAGCCCCCGGGTGAAGGACGGAGGCGCCCCTCGCTCCGCCTGGTTCTCCTGGGGAGGGACGGGAAGTGGGGCTGAGCGCTGGGCAGAGCCCCAGGGCCCAGGGGACTGGCACTCACCTCCGGCCCCCGGGCCCCTTCTGCAGGGCTCCTCCTTTGTCCCAGGCCCCTGGAGGTTCTCATAGGTGAGCCCCGCCTCCTCCGGCTCTGGAAGACAAGCAGGGGGCGGGGGCGGGGGGGAGGCAGGGGGGCAGCCCTGGGAGGGCCGGCCTGGCTGCCTCCTACCTCCCCCACCCCCCCCCACCCCCCCGGCCTTTCTCCAGAACTTTTCTCCCTGCAAACTGCAGGTCAGCGTAGGTCACTCCCTCAAACATCGGTGGTCACGCTGCGTGCGTGTGCGTGTGCGTGTGCGTGTGTGGAGAGGCAGAGGGGAAGGAACTGTGGCTGAGTGGCTGAGGGCCGGTCAGGAGGGGGGCATGGAAAGCAGAAGTTGAGGGTTGTGGAGGGAGACAACCCAGCGTGGGGCTGCCCCAAGGGAGACAGAGAAGGGCCGCCGAGGCCGCTGCTGCCGCTGCTGCCGCTGCCGCCACCCAGGCATCATAAGGATGAAGCTCACCGGGGGGGGGGGGGGGAGAAAGTCTTATGCGGAGGTTCTGGGGTTCACTTCTGGGCATTCACTTGCACACTCACACACTCACAGCCACAGGGAGGCAGGAGCCATTCTTTAGAATACACAGAGATCAAGTCAATTAAAAAAAAAACCAGCAACCCCCCCCTCTCTTTCACACACACACACACACACACACACACACACACACACACACACACACACACACACTAATCCTTCTAAACTAGGCTGGCAAGCACTAGGCAGATGCAGAGAAGCTGTCAAGTCTGGACCCTAAGATGACTGAAGAGTGGGGGGAGGGGATGCAGGTCCCCTTTGATCCCCCCAAATGCTGGTTTTCTCCATTGACAGGTTGGCTGAGAAGCCCTGCAGCTTTGGAGGGGATTTGGGGCTTCATGGGCCCAACTTCTTCTGTCGGCTTGAGGGGACGTCATTTCCCCCCTGGTTTTCCTAAGGCCTCGGTTCCTTCTCTCTGCCTCCTCCTGGAGGGGTCTGTTAGAGGAGACCCCCTTGAGGGAGGGCAGCTTCTGCCTCAATGGCCAACGCCCCCCTGATTTGGAGGAGCCCCGAGGAATGGGGGCCAAAGAGGCTCAGAGACGCCCAGGGCCTCCCAGGGGGCAATGCCCGGGGATCCGGCTTCCTGGCCAGTTTGGGGGAGCTGGGCCGGTCCTGTCCCTGGGCAAATTGGGCCTCTTGCCCTGGAGGGGGTGGCAGCAGTGCCGGGGAAGCCGCTTGCGAAGGAGGTGGAGGGCTGGCATAAGGGGGCGGAGCTTGGGGGTTTCTCACCCCGCTACTCTCTTGCACCCCACCCTGTGAGTGCTGAGGAGGCAGCTGCCCCTCCGCAGAAGGGCTTGCGGGGAGGGGGGGGCAGTTTGTCTGGGGCGGGGGGGCTCAACCGGACCTGATGGGGTTAAGCAAGGGGGGCAGCTGGGCTGATCCTGCTCCCCCTTCGGGGAAGTGGGGCGGGGGGAAGGTTGCAGCCAACTTCTTTTCCTGGGCATCTGGACCCCCATCCAGTCCGGGTTTCTAAGGCACGAGAGGGATCCGCGTATTTACAAAAGCCGGGTCCACTTTCTGCAGAGAAACTGGGGAGCGGAGAGGTTGATT